ACACTTTAAAAGCTGACAGCTGATTGTTGGAGGTTTGTAAACTCGGTTGTGTGGGAGCAGTAGAACTCCACAAAGACATAAAGACTCACTGAAGCTTAGTACCCTATAAAGCTGATGAACTGCAAGGCGTCAGGATGAGTTGCTGAAAACAAAATGATCTTTGCTTTTTCACTGGTTTTAACCTCAGCTGTGTGGAAACTGAGCTCTTCATAGCTTGGTCATGCATGGGAGACAGTGCTGGTACACAGAGAAGATTGCCATGAGTAGAATAAGAGAGTGGAAAGGGACTGTTGCAAAATTTCCTCCCAAGTAAAGGAAGAGGACATGGAGTTCAGGGGGCTGGAAAGAAGATGAAGTAGAACTGTGCAGGAAAGGATGGCCATCCAGCAGATAAGACATTGTGAGCTGTAAGTTCACCATGCTTCGCTCAGGGTCTTGTGTCTGGTTTTGTGGTTGACTGGTTGTTTTTCCATAATGGTCAGGGAAAAGGGCAGTGAGGAATGCTTTTTTACATGGCCAAAAAAAGCTTTATGAATAGGGAAATCACGTGTTATGTCCCTGGTGATGTTTATTAATGGCAAGCTAATGAAACAGAGCACTGCAGAGAATGATGGTGTACAGCTTTAAAGGGCAGGCACAAAAAGCATGAGCCAAGATCACTGACTAATAGAGGCTGCAGTTTTATTATAAAAAGCCTTTTCTAGCGGGGAGCCATCCTAACCTGCCTTCCCATTCTCTTTCAGCCTGGATTTGAGTGGATGGTGAACGGCATAAGGGTGTGATGATGGTGTTGCAGAGGGAGGCATTGCTGAGATTTGCCTCTGAGTCCCAGGTGGAGGCAGGGCTGAAGCCGTCCCTCTCCTTTGAACCAGCAGGCAGGATCAGTGAGATGAGGGAAGCCACGTGGAGCTATACCCCTTCATGTTGTATTTCCATGGGCTGGGCTGGCGTCCAAGGCAGCCCACTGGGTTACAGAGACCTCAGGATGAACCCTTTCTAACCCACCAAATGCTCTGGAAGCTGCCAGACTCTCAACAACAGCATTCAGACCCTTGAAACCAAAATGAAGTTTGCGAAACCAACACAGACAGTTTTGGGAGCAAGATGGGGAAAACCTGTTTCAGATGCTCAAACTAGCAATCAGCTGAGCCCACACCACTACGAGAAGCCCGGTTCACTAGATGAGGATGGAAAGGCAGGAATAGAGGAAGAAAAAACCACAGAGCCATTTGCTTTTTGTCCAATTGACTTTATGAGCTGACAGAATGGCTGAAGGTATACCTCTGAATATCCCAGCCATAGTGTTATGATCTTCTCAATTAGAAAAGTTGTGGTTCCATTAAATAAAGCCAACTGCAACACTCATTGTCTAGGGAAATGAACAGTTAATTCTCAATTAATAGCATTCTGGGGAGATGCTAAGAAATAGTGTTCTGAGAATTCAGCCATCCCTTTCGGCTTCATTGCTACTCTTCGTCCCGTAGTTCCTAATTCTGGAATAGTCAGCATCATTGGGAAAGGTTTGCTTATACCATCCATCCATTTTCAGAAAATAATGATAATTTAAAGTTCAAAGTTTTGATTCAGATATACTTTAAATAGACCTTTGGCAGCTTAGATAAAAGCTGAGGTTATGGAGAAACATCTATACCACTTGTAGGTCACTGTAGGGGAGCATGAGTTGTTGGGGTAGATCTCTTTCTCCACCACCACCAGAACAAAATGTAACACTTGTTTACAATTTTTATCTTAGCACAGGATGTACAAACCTGTTTTGATAAGGATCCTGCTGTCTTTTGTAATGTTGACTGACATCAGTCACAGCCTGAATTTAATGAAGAAAGAGCATTCTTAATCTTAGAGTTTTGGCACCTCCAGCAGCTCTGGACAAGAAGAGGGTACCTACCAAAAGGTAGATGCGATATAAGGAATGTACGGTACAAAAGTAAATGCAGAAGAGCTATTAAAAGAGAAAGTGATTTGTATTATAGACTGCAGTTACATGGTACTTTTTTCCTTTTTTGTTTCTTCCCAAAAGGCTAGGTGTAATTACTATGGTAAAACAAAGGCCTGTTCTTAGCACAGTCTAGAAAAATCTGTAAGTCATGACCTGTACATTGTCTCAAAGACAATAGGCTGTATCCATGGAACAAGTACTTTGTGTGGCGCATAAGGGTTCAGCGTTCTTCCTTCCTCTTCCTGTAAGGGACCTGATGCTGCTTGCTGAAAAGGCATGTGGGACTTTGGGGCAGACTTCACTCACTTTGCTGATGGACTGCTTTCAAGGTCCATATATATCCCTTGTGTCCAGTCTCAGAAGTATCCCAGGAGTCAGAATACTCCTGGGAGCAGTCTAATGTGCATATGCTGGGTACATCAGGTCCCTGGTGCCCTCAGAGCACTTCAGGGTGCTCTGAAGAGCAATGGGACAGCAGCAACAGTGGGATCTTCCAGCTCATAGAGTAGCAAGTGTGCTGCTGAGGCAGGCAACACTAGGTCAACCTGAAATCTGCCTCTGGCACCCAGGGGAAGCCTGGAAGTATGTCAACATGTAGGATTTCCTCCGTGGCACATTTATCTGCCCTGTGGATGGAGCTGGCAATTTGTGCTGCCTCTAGATAACCCTTGGCCAGCAATGTGCACAAGGGCTCCCTCATCTCCATTGTACGTGAGCTGATCACGTTTATCCCCCTTCTCTCAGAAGATGGAAGATACTGGCCTTGACCGTATGTATGAATATTTGGGTATAGCCTGTGCAGAGTGTCCTTCTCCGCCTTG